TTATATAAAAACAAAAAAGGTATGTAGGACCTTGAGAGATCTCTTCTTGTCACCAGGATATCGACCCTTTTTACGAAAGGTCAAAATAATATAATTCTGAGATCTGTGCAAGAGCTATCGAAAGAAATCTTGTAGTTCGGATAAATAAATATTTTTTAAGTGAAAAATTCTTTAGGGGTTTTTGTACTTTTTTTGTACAGAGTTAATTAGATTGAGCCGTCAGATCTTCGATGTGTAACGCTTGGATAAAATCGGCTGGAGTCGACCAAGTATTTTTGTATATGGATTTAAATCTTACTATTGTCCTTGAATGTGACAGATTGTAATATATCTCAATAAACAAATTTCCAAAAAAAATATCAAAAACTAAAAATCGGACCTGCATATTATTAGCAAGGGTAATGTTCACCATTTCATCCTCTTTGTGATCAGTTATAATTAAAAAATTTATCTTAACGCGACGCCGTGTTAGAAAAGCGAAAAGGAAAAAATAGTGTCGAAAACAAAATAATAGCGAGTTTTTAATTAAAATATCTCAGCAACTAAAAATCGGATCTACATTCTGTAAACGAGGGAAATGTTCAGCATTCCAACCTATTTATAGTGAGGTATTATTTATAATTTATATTTCATATTATTAATTTCGTCTTGTTGATGTTTTCAGGATTATCATGTGGCCTAAGGCACACGCCTTTATTTTATTATTTACACTGCCTGTTTATTATTTTCACTTGTCTTCATATGAAATATCTAGTAAGAAAAATTATTGGAATCGTGAACATTTTTTTTAATTAAACACAAATATGTGACCAGTCTAGCTCAAAAAAGAAAAGGAGTACGTAAATGAAATTACATATCATTATTTATCTAGTGCCGTTATATTTTTGGCTTGAAAAAGATTGTATTGTACTGGAAATCTATACCATGATTCCTGATTAAAGTACACGCTGTTATCGCTCCCACACTCGGTCTGTTTATGTTATCTCCAGTAGGCTTCATTCCACATACATGATTAGAATGGGAGACAAGATGGTTATACAATTCGTGCGGTCACCCATCCAAATACTTATCACGCTTACCAGAGCTTTATTATACTTGGCCATCTTGCCTCCAGTTTATATATACATATAAATTTCGGTCATAGATATAGCCTCATCCAGTAAAAAAAAATATTAATTTTTTATCTTATTTACCATATTACTATCTGCAAGATCTTCGGATATTTCTTTGACAGTTTTTAAACGATATTATAAAATCAACGCACTATTATGTGGACAAATTGTTCGTTTTTTTTTCTCCTCCCAGTTTTTCTATGAATGGAAAAAATGAAAATGAAAAAATATTTTATTATTCTGGGACTGTTGTCCCTTTAGAACAAATTATAAATACAGATTGTATGTCTGTGTGGTTACAATTAGATTATATATTTACAATAAGAGTTGACTAAAAATAAAAATACTGAAGAAGAGAAAAAAAAAAAGAACCAGAAAATTGTGCATATATATATGAGAAACTAAAATAACCTAAATTAATTGAGGTAGTCTCTGGGGGTACTTAGATATTTCTCTTAAGTGTATTTCGCAATCAGTCGGATTGAGAAAGGAGTAGGTGTTTAAAGAGGAGAAGTTTGAAAGAGGAAACTGATTGAGCGTGTCGAATATCTATGGTGCTTTTTTTTTTCTTTTTTTTCAAAATTATGACTACAGTTGATTGGTGGTACACTATCCTAGTTAATGTTTCCCGAGAAAATTCTTTTACTTCATGTAATGTCACAATTCAATTTTTTTCTAACGAGGCCAGTTTTTTTTTTATTATTCACAATTAGGGTGAACACGTAAGTTATGGGCAGGGAGCCTAGTGGTGGAAACCTAATGTTGGACTTTAAATTTAAATAATAAGCTTCCATGTTGATTGAAAGGTTCCATTTTTTTCTAGATTTTACCTTCCTACTAACAGTTTTGATAAGAGTAAGTAGAACATTTATCTTATCTTATATTACCAGAACAATTGAATTTCGGGGTGACCATCACTAGTACAAAAAGTTGTTTTGTTTTTTTATATGGAGATTATAGAATAGAATAGAATAGAAAATAAACTTTATTCTGGGACGAGGTCCCTTAAGAATAACAATTATGAACAAAAAATAAAAATCACATCTGGCCAAAAATTACATTAATCAAAATTAAAGAATATATACAATATTTTCAGAGAAAGTATATTTAAACAAATAAAAAAGTAAAACCATTTTGAAAAAACAAACATTATTTTAATGAATAGAAAAACAGAAATCAGGTAAAATAAAAAACAAAATGTTATAAGCACCATGGGTTGATTCTTAAAATTAAAACTCAAAAAAATTCAACTATCATTCACCTCAGTCAAAATTTGATTCATAATATTTATTTCACTGTACAGCGTCATTTTGAGATGTGAGAAGAAATTGGTAAAGATGATATTTGAATGAGGACAAGGAAGAGGCATGGTGGATATCAGATGGCAAGGAATTCCAGAAGGCAGTGGATCGGGCAATAAAGGAATATTCAAATATCTTAGTTCTATGGGAAGGGATATAAAGGTCGGAAACACGGGATCATGTTTTCTGGGAGCCTTATACCTTATACCCGCATAATTGAATATTTTTTCAATTTGAAGGTGTTAAGTAGAAAAAAAATATTTTAGAGATTCTACACATCCAACAGAGAAGTCTATAACTATAATAATTACGGCGGAATAAAAATATTCAGAAAAAAAATCCTTAGCTATGCCTCATCACTGATGCACTTACCCTTCAGCTTTTATCCTGGCACTAATAAAAACTGAACTGAGAAACATTGTCAAAGTTTCGTTGTAACCTAAAGAATAAAGTAAATATAAACAAAAACATTAAATTGAATCAACATAATAAATATATCCCATATAAACAAATCTGGTGCGGTGAGCTCACCACACAACTTTCACTTCTTGGCAGATTAATGTATTTTCAGACAAAGGGAAAGTGAACGTAAAAATTATAGACACTAAATTTATTTATATTACGTTATGGGTATTTTTATTTCTATAAGTACCCTTATATTTACATCTATCCGGAATCTATACAATTAAATTTTGAATAATACTAACAATAGCACCTATGAAAACAGCATATGTATATTTACATCATATTGTGGGAGTCCTTATTATATTAAGATCATATTACGTATGAAAGCGTGTTATTATCCTTCGGGCGCACTCCTGGTAATTGGAACTTCAATTACAACTATTCTCCATTCCGATCTCTCCTTTAATTAATTTTCAAATTCTTCCATATTTAGTACTTCTTACATCTTTTATATTAGAGATTAATGTGAAATTGTCAATTGTTTCAAATAAAAACATTAAAGGTACTTTAGGGGAAGCTAATATTGAAAATAGCCACTTAAGCCCTGTAAGAGAACATCAATCACAATAAAACCTACTTTTTTTTAAAACTGCTTAATTTTACACTGATATAATGAATTTAATCATAATCGTTAGAGCCGTTTCAGTGAAAAACTTAAAAATGTGTTTAGTTCAATATATAAAGTGCCGCTTTCGGTTAGCCGATTTTCACGAAAAAGTTACATACCAAGCACATAAAAATCTCAAATATGCAATTTCACTTCCGTACGACTTTTCATTTTTGAGCTAGACTGTTAACATACACACACAGATCATTTTGCGAGCCTTGGTTATTTCGACTCAGGGGACCAGTTATTTCGAACTTCAAAACATGTATTTTTATTGAAAACTCAGATTAGAAAATTTTTACGATCGCAATACTTTCCCTTACTATATATTTCATACATAAGTAAGTGAAATAAATAAATGGGTGATGTAATTTCTATGACCGCGAGTGTACATAAACCCTAATATCCTCGTAATTTGTAATTCTTCAGTGAACATTTAAGAGTTCGTCCTAGCATTTATACTAAATGTTCAAACTAAAAAAAATGGTGTGTCCACTCACAGGACTTCCCTACCTATTTCAGAAAAGTTTTTAAATCTTTACATATGTTCATAAAGAAACAAAAAAAAAAAAAAATTGAACTAGATTTATTTTCCTGAAAATTGTTCAAAGATAAGATTTTAGTACGATTTATTTGATAAAATAAAGCAATGTAAACCGGTAAGGTAGATCAGTGTAAAAATTTCAATACTCTCTAATATTGCCGATCAAAAATTTTTTGCCATTGCTTAATTTTGTCAAAAAATAATTTCTGTTAAAATAAGAGGAAATAGTGAAGCTTGTGTGATGGGGGCAACAGATTTTCTTACTTTCACTTAGTCATCTTTATTCTCTCATTCATCCCTTTCTGACACCAGGATATGAACCCATAATCTTACATTGGAAATTGAATAGCTGTAACTTCGTTAACAGTTGTTTAAAATTAACAATTTTTATATGGTTTTGTAGGGAATTTCAGTATTCAAAATAAGTAAAAATGTGTTTTCGCGTTACAGTCTATAGAAAAACATGTTTTTCATTTATTGCGCGCAAGCTATTGCGTAGGGTGCACCAAATTTCTGTCACAGGCATGAGTCAAAACCCTACAAAATAAAAAAAGATGCAACAAAATCGATTCAGTAGTTCACGAGAATATCTTGGCACAGACAGACAGACCAATGGTTAAAAATGTGTTGTAATGTAATGTAATGTAAACGTATAGATCCGTCGAAAACCGTATATCGGGAGTTTGACCCGATCACAATACTTTCCTTACCTAGTATAGATGGGAAATTAAAAAAGGAGGGGAAAAAAGTATTAATAACAACATTTACCGATGTAAGGAACTGGTGAGAATATGACAAGAATTGAATTATGTTAATGAGGAGCACTATGAGAATACGTCTCCTCCATCTTGCAATTACAATTGATTCGGCGACTTGCCAAAGAGTTCGCTGTTGACTGTTGAGGACCTTGGAAATTTTCGCGTATAATAAATAGCAGCAGTCTCTTCGGGAGGAGTTAGTTCTATTCCGCCATGGTGTCTGTACATCTGATCTTCCTGGTCTTCTGCGTCGGTGGAGTCCTTTCTGCCCTGCGTGAGTACATCTGTTCATATCTTAAAAGATCTAGCACGCACCACGCATTTTTATTTTTCACTCTACTTTATAGAAATAGGTATCTTCATATGTGAGAAAGTGGAAGTAATAATAATAGACGGTATTACATTTTCCTTTAAAACAATTAATTACCAATTTATGATAAATGACATTTTTTCGAAAAAACAAAGGGGGCTTGGATCATATTTCGTAAATTTTTTAAAGATTTTTATTGCTGATAAAATTCGTATTAGGGAGTTTTCCAATATGTGAAATACACTTATCAACTTGGTTTCTAATTATAAATAATTGAAAATGTTTTTATCATACTTATGTCATAAGTTTTTGAATAGTATCTAATAAAAAAAATTAACTTTATTTAATATTGTCTAACATTTAAAAAACATTATTGATACCATACTTAGTGTAAGTTCATTTTTACATTCACTTACCTATAGATGAAATACATAGTAAGGGGTCATAATTTTTTTTTTCATATTTTTTTTTTCATTTTTTTCCATAATTTTTTTCCACATAATTTTTTTTTCATTTATATCTTATGTAGGTTTTTATGAGATTTTTCCTATTGTAAAAAATTAATTTCAATTTTCTAAGTAGTATTCAAACCACTATTATGTCATGTGTAAGGTTACTACAACCATAAACTTGTAACTTATCTGTATGACATGTTGTAATGTATATATAAAATAAAAAAAATAATGTATAAAAAAAATAAATATATAGTAAGGGGAAATACTGTGATCGTGAAAATTTTCGAACCTGAATTTTCAACGGAAATACATGGTCTGTGTGTATGTGACAGGTGTAGCTCAAAAACGAAAAGTCGTATAAAATCGAAATTGCATATTTGATGTTTGTATATAACTGAGACAGGTGCAGCAACTTTTTCGTCAAAATCGGCTAACCAGAAATGTCAATTTATATTCTCGATGAAATACATTTTTAATATTTTCTCGTAAACGGCTCTAACGATTACGATTAAATTCATTATATCAGTGTAAAATTAAGCAGTTTTAAAAAAAAGTAGGTTTTATTGTGATTGATGTTCTCTAACAGGGCTTAAGTGACTAATTTTCAATATTAGCTTCCTCTAAAGTACCTTCAATGTTTTTATTTGAAATAATTGACCATTTCACATTAATCTCTAATATAAAAGATAGTTTAATATAAAATATGAAACAATTTGATAATTGATTATATTAGAAATATGATATCGTAATAGAGAATAGTTGTAATGAAGGAACCAAAGGGATACGAGCATAACCGAGCTGGCCCGAAGATTAGAACAGGCTTCCATAGTAACATGAGCTTAATATAATACGGACTCCGACAATATTATGTACATATACATATGAGATTTTTCTGAACGTTTTCGTTGGTATTATTTAATATTTATTTGTATAAATTATAGCGATATAAAAATCAAAATTTGTATGTATAGAGGGGTACTTAAACAAATAACCCACAATGAAATATGAATAAATATAGCGTCTATAATTTTTACGTTCACTTCCTCTTTGTCTGAAAAAACTTATTTTTGCTAAGAAGGTGGTAAGTGAAAGTTGTGTGATAAGTGCACCGCACCAGGTTTTTCCCTTTTTTTACTTGCTTGATCCAGTTCTCTTATCGTGTGAGGTTGCTTCCTATAGAGCCTTAATAGCCCTGGAGTCAAAGCCATCGCAGGCGAAGGTTTGATCGTAAATTAGGAAAGTTTATGTTATTCTGAATAAAAATAACTTCGTCTGCCGTTTCAGAGCCGCTGCTTTCAAAAATGGAGGCTGATTTAAAGAATATTAGGCCAGCAATTTGAGGGTCGAAACGGGAAATCCATTGCGAAAAATATTTTTATCTTTAAAAGAACAGTTTTTTTTTTTTACTTGTATATATGGATTTAGACATGTAAAAAACAACATTGCTAACGCGGGCCATCAAGGGAATACTTTTTACAGCCCAATTATGCCCAAAAACGATCAATCTAGTGTACCATAAAATAGTATCTAAAACAAGTTATTTTTTTTTATTTTTTTATTTATTTTTTTTTTTTTTTTGTCCTTACCTTCCTCGCCGTTAAGGCTATACGGAATTTTCCCGGACCAAGGGGTGTGGGCGGGGATTTAAAAGACTCCCCTGGCACCGGGACGCGAACTCGTGACTATTTTTATATCTTTGATTCATAGATCAGGTTGCCAGGCAACGGCGGTGCAATGCACACGCTTTAGCCCATTCGGCCACCCCGCCCACCAAACAAGTTATTTTAAATGGTTTGGATTACGGACTAACTTTCATAGATTTTTGTGTAGCTAATGAAAAGGTCTAATCGCAAGATGGTTTGATATCTACTGAAGTAGTAATTAAATTCTTTGGTACTTAAAAAAGATCAGTATTTGAGTACAATACTTGACACTCAGTACTCAAAGGAGCGTTTGCCCATCTCTGCGCTCTAGTCATAATTTAAAATAGAATATAATAATATAAATAGAAGATATATAATAAATAAATAAAATAACAATAATAATATAAAATAGAAGATTTTGTGATAGTCTAAATATTAGCTTCAAATCAGTCGTAGAAAAAATACGGACCAATGAATATATTAAAATTAAAATATGATTTCACGAGAGTTTTTGTTTTAAAAAACAAAACAAATTATAATCTTATTAAGTGAAAAAAAAAACTAAGTTACAACTCCATAACTGTATAAAAAATCTATCATAAACAATAGATTGTTCTTGAATATATAATTAATTTCATTGCTAATTATTACTGGTAGCTTTGTATTCTTTTGCAGAGATCACTCTTATTATCTTCGTAGGTGCAGACTTCGAGGAGGGGAGACAAACCCTTTCCCTTCCAATAAAAATAGAGATAGGGCGAGAATATAGTTTCGTCTTTCAAATATTTCGGAAAACAAAAATAAAATAAAAATGTACAATCAATTTACATGAATGAATAAAATATGTAAACTAAAATGAATTAAGAAAATCGGAATAGTCAATTAGATGGCTAAACTAAGGACTATAGTTAGGTACGCGAGTATTTTACAACATTCTATACTTCTATTACTGAAATTTTAGTTTATATTCTAATATAATTATATCTAGCAACGTATCCTAGGATTTTTATGATTTATGCATGTCCAATTTTATCATATTTACCTCGACAAATTTATAGCATCGGGAAATTTAGAGATCATCTCACTGCCTCAATCCTTTAAATAAAAATAAACATCTGTAATATTAATATCGTTTCGTCTTTCAAATATTTCGGAAAACAAAAATAAAATAAAAATGTACAATCAATTTACATGAATGAATAAAATATGTAAACTAAAATCAATTAAGAAAATCGAAATAGTCAATTAGATGGCTAAACTAAGGACTATAGTTAGGTACGCGAGTATTTTACAACATCCTATACTTCTATTATTGAAATTTTAGTTTATATTCTAATATAATTATATCTAGCAACGTATCCTAGGATTTTTATGATTTATGCATGTCCAATTTTATCATATTTACCACGACAAATTTATAGCATCGGGAAATTTAGAGATCATCTCACTGCCTCAATCCTTTAAATAAAAATAAACATCTGTAATATTAATATATGTAATATTATTTGAATAAATATATTCAAATTCTTTGTAAACATATTGTCAAATATACCCATAGCATATATATGTACATATTTTATGTTAATTACCACCCATAATTTTTATACACAATATAAATTTCCGAGTCTCACCCCGCTTTGTGAGACTTGTTAAAGTTGAAATTTACATAAAAAATTAAGAAAATTTCTATTCAACGAATTTCCTCTACACTATAAATTAAGGAAAATAATTGGGGACGCATACTTTGGAGTTGGAAACCCTTTGGAACTCCGTTCTCTATTTTCTCATTTAGCTTACTAAATATCAGAAAATATGTAATAACAAAACTTTTTCAGGATTAAAATATAAACAAGTTGCGGATTTTTGCATACTCAATCTCATTCACGATCTAGACTAACCAGAGAATTTAGACGGTTACACATCGCTGAATTGCGTGATCTTTTTTCTATTTCCTTCCTTGTCCTTTCGGCTATACAGGATTTTTTTTTAATTTTATTCAGAGTGGATGAAAACGTTACCTACACGTTCGTTAGTTTAAATTTATTCATTAATAAAAATATTTACGTATCATTAGTTTATTTTAAAACTATAAATCTGTATTAATTTAATGACAACACAATATCAATTATCAATCTTTATTTGTTTTAAGGGAAGAACCCTATACAAATGGACTCACAAAATAACAAACATTATTATCCTTATGGAAATAGAAATTGATTTTTATACACAATATAAATTTTCGAGTGTCACCTCGCTTTGTAGAGACTTGTTAGAGTTGAAATTTACATGGAAAATTAAGAAAATTTCTATTTAACGAATTTCCTCTACCATATAAATTAAGGAAAATAATTGGGGAGGCATACTTTGGAGTTGGAAACCCTATGGAACTCCGTTCCCTATCTGCTCATTTAGCTTAATTAATATCAGAAAATATGTAATAACAAAACTTTTCAGGATTAAAATATAAAATTTGAGTTCTACCAATGGGTAGTTTCTCTTCATGTTGTACATGTCATGTTACCAATTTCACATTTACTTATTGTATTTTCTATGTAATACAGTTGTAAATTCCATTAAAATAATAATAAAAAAATATAAACAATTTTCGGATTTTTGCATACTCAATCTCATTCACGATCTAGACTAACCGGAGAATTTAGACGGTTACACATCGCTGAATTGGGTGATCTTTTTTCTATTTCCTTCCTTGTCCTTTCGGCTATACAGGATTTTTTTTAAATTTTATTCAGAGTGGATGAAAACGTTACCAACACGTTGGTTGGTTTAAATTTATTGATTAATAAAAATAGTTACGTATCATTAGTTTAATTTAAAACTATAAATCTGTATTAATTTGATGACAACACAATATCAATTATCAATCTTTATTTTATTTAAGGGAAGAACCCTATACCAATGGACTCACAAAATAACAAACATTATTATCCTTATGGAAATACAAATTGATTTTTATATTAAATAACAGACATTACAACACTATTAAGCATAAATTAAAAATTATATTATGTAAAGGTCAGACAGTTAAAATAGTTCCAATTATTAAATTAATATAAAATTCAAAATTGTCAACAGTATACATAAATAAATAAACATTTTTTTAAATAATATTAATAGTAAACTATGCTTTAAAATTAAATTAAAAGATTACCCCTATACCTAAGAGAACAAACAAGAAAAATATCCTGCCAGAATACATGCCGATGTACAATATGGAATTTTTGCCATATTATGCGGAGGACAATATTAAATATTACCCTACCAATTCTCTATAATTTGATATAATTGAGAAAAAAAAAATAATTTTTCCATATCTTCTGCACTGGTTGGTTTAAATATTTCTATCCCATCAAGATTTTCCATACCCTGACAAATTCTTACAATTAAACTACTATAAAACTATTATAAGTGCCTGGGCAAGCTTGAATAAATTAAAGTTAAACGCAGCGAAAACTCAGGCCATCGTTATAGGTTCCAACTCCCTCCTTAGATCCATTTCCACCCTTCCTTCCTTGATCATTAATGACCAACCAATCTCCTTCACCTCCTCTGTAAAAAATCTGGTGCGCGCAACACACAACTTTTACTTACCGATCTACTTTGAATAGAAATTATTTTCGGGCAATGCTGGGCTATTATAAAATATTTTGAAGTGCATTTTAAACGGAGCTAAAGTTTACAGATAACAAGTCATTAAGACCATTATAATTACAAAATGTCTATTTAATATATCGACGACAGGCAATAAAAATCTATTCACTCTATCTGCTTTTATAAACCACAGAATGACTAACTCCAATTTCAACATTTTTGAGTTGTCATTTCAGTGATATTTTTAGTTAAAAAAGTTATCTATGCAGACAATGAGTAAGTTGATTCCAGAGGTGGTGATTGCAGTGTTGAAATATAGAACTGAGAATAAAGGTATAAATTTAGGTACTTATTTCTTATGAAAGATGTTCTTAGGAAAGAACTTTATTAAATATCTGTAGAAAAAAGGTATTTTTAATCTCAACAATTAAAAAAATATATTTTAAATTTATCCAAATTTTCACCTCTTCAGGGAAAAGAACTAGAGACCATATCTTTCCTCCTAATTGTCCGATTTTAGCGATTTTTTTTTGTTTTTTTAGGAAATTCCATAAACTTTTAAGCCCTATTAGAGAACATCAATTACAATAAAACCTACTTTTTTTTTTTAAATTGCTTAATTTTACACTGATATAATGAATTTAATCATAATCGTCAAAGCCGTTACAGAGAAAAATGTAAAAATTTGTTTCAGCGTTCATATAAAATGGCACTCCCGGTTAGCCGATTTTAACGAAAAAGTTGCTGTCACATCCGGCCCATATACAAATCTTAAATACTTAATATCAGTTTCGTACTACTTTTCATTTATGAGATAGACTGTTAACACACACACACACAGACCATTTTGCGACACTTGGTTATTTGAACTCAGGGTACCTCAAAACATGTATTTCCGTTGAAAACTGAGATTCGAAAATTTTCACGATCGCAATACTTACCCTTACTATATATTATATATATACGTAAGTGAAAGTAAAAACTTAGGAATTACCATTGATCAAAACCTATAATGGAAACCCCATATTGCTCATATCTCCAGAAAGTCAATTGGTACACTTAAACTATTTCATCGTTCTCGTCAGCATCTCCTAACATCCAGAACATATCCGCAGGCTCCTCGTTTCCTCATTGATTTTTCCCTACATTAACTATGGCTGTGTGGTATACGGTGGCCTCTCGTTGGAGCTTGAGGACAGACTGAAGAGAATCATGAACTGTTTTTTAAGATTAGTCTTCGGGACTTCGGGATGGTCTCATGTGTCCCACCTATATGCCGAGTCAAAGTGGCTCTTCCCCTCTTCCCACCGCCTATACTTCCTTGGAAATTTCCTATACCAAACGATTAACTCCCAGCACCCTTCCTATATCTGTTGTCTCCTCCAGCCTAAACCCTTAGTCCACTCAATAAAAACGAGATCCCCTGTTTCTGACCTCTATATTCCATTCCACAGGACAAAAACCTATGAACGTTCCTTCTTAGCCCGCTCCGTCTCCTACTGGAATTCTTTGCCACATAACATCCGTCATACCTCTTCCCTGTCAACTTTCAAATACCTCATTTTCCAATATCTCCTCACATCCCAAAAAGAAGATTTACCACCATAAATTTCATTTTATGAACCGAATTTGTGAGAAGTAAATGGTGGTGCCTACTGTTTAAATTTTAACATAAAACAACAATGATTTTTGACTATTATTTTTATTATTTATTTGCTTTTCTCTTCACCTCAGGTCGTCTCTTTTACTTTCGGGTATATATGTTTATATTTTATACTTTTTGTTTCTCTGTGTACCAATATGAGCATGTGTATGTATACATAGTTGTTTTTTTCCATTACACCACAAGTAATTCTTAGATTTTATTTTATCTCAGTGTTTGCATATTATTATATAAAACACTGTAGATATTATTACACTTTGTATTAAATTATTTTTCTATTAGATAGCCTACTGTTTATAAATTGTGTAGTTATGTATACATAAATATGTAATTTCTCTTTTTTTTTTTTTTTTTCTTTCATCACAATAATAAGTAAATTTGAAAATATTTTATGTTCATTTTATATACATTTTTTTTGTTTATTTTTTAGTTGTTGCATACTATTTTTTAAAGAATGTATATAATGTTGGAATTTTTATAAGTTAGTTTTTGGCCAGATTTGTATTAATTCATCATTGTTATTCTAAGGGGACTTAGTCCCAGAATAAAGTTCAATTTTTCTATTCTATTCTATTCTAAATTGGGCATTTAAATAATATATGATGAAGTGTTTCTTTTTTTTTAGACAACACAATATGTTTCTTTTTAGCAAAAGCGGTACTAGTTTAATGTGTGCATGGAAGATAACATAGAATATGGAAAGTAGTGAAGATAATACCCCCTTGCGATAACATGCTGATTCGATAATTCTTATTTCAGCGAAAGGTTGGAGAGCCTGCAAACAGAGCGAACCGGAATACGAAGACTGCCTCAAGCAACAGATCGACAATGCCATCCAGTTCTTCAAGAACGGTAAGTTAAAAAGTACTCACTTAAAAAAATGTGGTGTGCCGACTCACACGAAATTTCCTATCTATTTCAGAAAAGTTTTTATATCTTTACATATGTCTATCAAAAAAAAAAATTGAATTAGATTTATTTTCCTGAAAATTGATCAAAGAAAAGATTTGAGTACGATTTATTTGATAAACTAAAGCAATGTAAACCGGCCTAAGATAGATCAGATAGGTCAAACAATAATTTCTGTTAAAAGTAGAGGACATAGTGAAGCTTGCGAGATGGGGGCTACAGATTTTCTTACTTTCACTTAGTCATCTTTATTCTCTCATTCACCCCTTTCTGGCACCAGAATATGAACCCGTAATCTTACATTGGAAATTGAATAGCTGTAACTTCGTTAATAGTTGTCCGAAATGAACGATTTTTATATAGTTTTGTACGAAATTTCATTATCTTTTAAAATAAACAGGCTAAGTATTCACAATAAGTCAAATTGTGTTTTCACGTTACAGTCTATAGAAAAACATGTTTTTCATTTATTGCGCGCAAGCTATTGCGCATGGTGCACCAAATTTCAAAGGCATGAGTAGTCCAAACCTAGGGAACATGAGTATGGAATTTCGTTACCTTTCAAAAATAAAGGCTTCTTACCCGGTATAGGTAGGAAAGCAATAAATTAAAATATTTGCAGAAAATAGAATAAACTGTAAGTTGTTTTTTCGGACTCAGGGGGCTCTGAAACGTATATATCCGTTGAAAACCGCATATCACCTAGTATAGGAAGGAAAGCAATAAATTAAAACATGTGTAGAAAACAGAATGATTTTTTTTTTTTTTGGTAACTTAATTATCTTTCAAAAGCTTTATTATAAATTTTACCATAGAAGATATACCTAGCGAGTTAGGTCCCAAAATATTCTTCTTTTCTATATAACATTTTTTCCTAATTTTTTTTTCGGGAATTGAAAGGTCAATTATTAGAACATTATAGGAAAGTTTCATCAAAACCGTTAAAGGCATTTTCGCGGTACAGTTTACAGAAAAACATGTTTTTAATTTATTGCGCAGCAGTTATTGCGCATAGAGCACTCAATTCGTAGCACAGGCATCAGTAATCAAAACCCTACAAAATAATAAAAGAAGCAACAAGACCGGTCCATTAGTTCCCGAGAAAATCTTGCCACAGACAGACAGACTAATGGCTAAAAACGCGTTTTTCGAACTCAAGAGGACTCTTAAACGTACAGATACGTCGAAAACCGTACATCGGAAATTTGACCCGATCGCAATACTTTCCTTACCTAATATAGGTAGGAAAGTAAAAATTAAGCAGCAGACCTCTATCATTGAGTTACATAATTTCCGTCATTTGTGTTTGGAAAAGGATTAGTTTGTGTATTTATTTAGTTAAAATTAAGGTGCCATGTACAAAAGCAAAGATTAGAGGCACCGTATTACAGTAGCATAATTTAAATCAGTTGATATAGTTTGTTATCCTTCAAAATTTGCTTCTGGTTTTCCGATTTCAAAGATTGATGACAGCTCCGAAGTCTTATAGAAATTCTTGAAGAACATAAGCACAGACAGTTTTCCATGAGTGCTCGATGGTCAATGGTGTGTTGCAGCTACTGCATCTAGGATGGGGCTTCCCTTCAAAGAGGTGTCCATGCATCAGCCTAGTGTGTCCTATTCTGAATCTATAAATTATGGTTTGCTCCCGACGGTTCCCTATTATCTCAGGCAGTGTGTCTTCATAAATGTTTTTCATTTGGTTGGTCTTTGCGACCATGGATCAAATGTAGCGCCATGATTCTTTGCAATGATTCAGCACGGCTGCATTGAAGTCGTAAAGCACCTTGTTAGGGTTAGGTTCTGGAAATATGGTGCAGGTTACCTTGGCAACTGTGTCAGCCAGTTCATTTCCCTGGTATACCAACATGACTGGGAAACCAGAGAAGTTTTATAAATTTGTTTGTTTTTGTAATTGGTTATGTTATGGAAAATACAATGGGGTTATTGGAGAGTTGAAAATTTTCTAATTCTTTGAGGGCCGAATATGAGTCCATTAGAATGCGAGTGCAAATAAGAACGTGAGTGCTTTTTATTTCATTAATAAGACTCACTTAGGACTTAATAAGACTATTTGGACCTACGGACTTGAACTTTGGAGGACAGCTAAATTGTCTAACATCAAACGCATCAAATCCTTTCAGTCCAAAATCCTCCGAACAATAGTCGAAGCTCCGTTCTATGTTCAAAGTTTTTACAAAAGATACAATGTTGCCAGAAAACCCCAATGTACCTAGAGAATCTAAAATTTTAATTCTTCAGCTTCAACTTCCTCTTTTCTCGGTTCTTCTATTAACGGTTCCGAACCCTGGTACTCAGAAGGACACAGATCATAATTTCCGTATTTAATATACTGTCAAAGTGGCTCTTAAACTTATTTAATGTATCTACTGGCTCGGTCAGAATATTGTTATTTCCATCCCTAATTCCAGACGTTACAGGTCCTAAACATTTACGTGATCTGTTTATACCTTTGTAAATGTCTCTTACGTTATTTTCAATTATATTAGTTTCTATTTCAATTATTTTATTTTTAAGATACTCCCTTTTTTATTTTTGAGCAATTTTGTCATTTCATGGTTTGAGGTTCGGAAGTATTCCAGATTGTCAGAGCTTTTAATTTAGCGGCTTTTCTTTCTTCGCACATGTTTAGGCAATCATCATCAAACCATCACGGTTTGTTATTCTTATTTTCCATTTTTCTTAGACACTAGTTACGGGACGTTTGAATATTATCTCTGATCTCTATCCATAACTTGTCAAATCCTCGTGGTCCTCTAAGCTCTAAAGCTTCAAACCTATTCTTAACATGTAGCTCGAATTGATTTCTAATTGATTAAAACAAATCACAAATCAAAGTTCTCGAAATCGAAACAGTTTTCTTTTCTCTTTTTTATATTAAGTTTTTGTCGAAGTTTCACGATTACTAATTCATGATCCGACCCACATTCTGCTCCGCGATAAGACCGTACATTAATTATAATGCTTTGCCAGCTATGTTGTATCAAGACATGATCGATTTGATTTCGTGTTTACGAATCCGGTGATGTCCAGGTATATTTATGAATATCCTTATGTTTTAACGCAATACTTTTAATTATCAGGATTTTCGAGATGGCAAACTGGAGACAGAGGCACTCCAGACTTGCTGGTAGCGATATTTCAGAGACGTTGGTTTAAAATCGCATTAATAAACATACGTTGTCCGACCGAAGACAGTGACGATGAAGTCAAATGCGAATTTTACGGTAAACTCCAATGGTTTTAGGATAAACTACCGCGAAACTCCTTGAAAATAACTTTAGGTGACGCGAACGCAAAGATGGGAAGGGAAGAAGTTTATGTTCCGGTAAAGAAAGTTTGCACGAATATAATAATGATAATGAGATCCGTCAGATCAACTTCACCATAAAATTGTAAATATGGAGTAAAATGTTCTTGAATTTTAAGAGAAGGTGCTGTTGCCAAACTTTATCAAATGCCAGGGAGCCATCTAAAAATACACCAGTTGCGTATTGTTTTTGAATTAATGCTCCAGCAATGTAGTCAGTTCTTCCCAGTAATTGTTGTATTGTTGAATGTGAGGAGCGAAACCGAGTTGATGGTTAGGTGTTATTTGATCTGTATGTCAATGTCAATTAGTCTTTTGTATATTATTTTTTTCGAAAACATTTTGGACATTTCGGAAGAAAAGGAGGGATAGGTCTGTAAGATGAAGGTTTCAATACGTCTTCGTCTCTTTTGTATATCGTTTAAACAAATTACCTTTTTGGACCTACGGACTTTAACTTTGGGGGACAGCAAAATTTTCTAACATCAAACGGATCCAATCCTTTCAGTCCAAAGGCCTCCGAACAATATTCGATGCTCTGTTCTATGTAACCAACAAAACCCTACATCATGACCTTAATATCCCATTTGTCCTCGACCTTATCCCTAACAAATTTTCCAAATTTCATCGGAACCTTATAAATCATCCAAATCCCCTAGCACAATCCTTATCTAGTTCCATCCATCCCTATAATCCTCCTCGAAGGTTGAAGCGACAGTGGCCCAGATATCTTTTGTAGTATATATCTTGGGGTTCTGACAATGGCCAGAATCTCCACTCAAGGCGTATGTGGAAAGAATAGCGCAGGGATCTCTTGAGTCCTGCTTTTCCTTCTATAGTTGGAGGGAGAAGCCTGGCTTGGGGCTCCCTACCTAATTGTACATATTGTATATAGGTATGACTGTGTGTTTATGTTTTTTAATTTACTTATCTTTAGGTTATTTTATTTTTTTATTGTAAACTAGCTGATGTATCCATCGTTGACGGGTGTATAGTTAAAATTTTAGAATCTTTTTTTGAGATGGATTTTGTATTACGGGAGGAGGAAGGTCCAAATTCATTTCATAAAATTGGGTCGGGAGAGGAGAGGGGGGTTGTTTTGAAATTTTTTATAGCTTATGGAAGGTTTCGTAAAAACTTTGTTATTCGGTTATTTGTTTAGGTATCACACAACTAAACCGACCGCCACCGATCCATTAAAATTTGTTAAGTGTTTATTTTCATTTATGATGAAGCAACGAGATTGTGGAGTCGATTAATTAATCAAAAAGAGTTGTAGTCTCTCCACTTCTTTAAACTCTGCTGAGTTTATCGCTGGCAAAATAACATTTGACATTGAGTCACCTAGATCCGTGTAAAATTAGAACTTTATCTGAATATTCAGGCAGGCGTGGTGAAATTTTTTGGATTTTTTTCCTGATTTACGGTTAATTCGTTTGGTTAAGCCTAAAAATGTATACAACAACATTTGTTAGGTTCGGGAAGTTGAATCGAATGACAGATTGAACGGGAAGATCGGACAAATTCGAAAAATGAGTGTGTTTTTTTACCCGTTTTATGTGACAACGCGTTGCAGATGTTCGGTATTCCGGATTTTTCTCGTTGAGTAGTGATAATTTTTTCCATCAGTTGAATAGTACAACTTTTAAATGTGGCTCGCGGTAGAGTAGGTTGGGATGAGAATCGAAGTAAGTTACTGCCTAACCGAGATCTCTAGACAAATTACTCAACAATTCATAACTTTAATTCTACCCAATATTTTGTTTTCATTTAAAGCCTATATTTTAAGTCAAGAAACCTAAATGTAATGTCAACATTTCAAAAGTCTACCATTAGCCATTGTCGAGCTTACCACTGACAAAATTTCGTTGTAAAATGCGGGCATCCAGACAGACAAAAATTTGCGAAAAGTGAATTTGTTGTCTGCAATGTATGAAACGGAAATATATCATAAAACGGCTTGATTCTATTCAATGTACAGACAAAATCTTTATTTTATTTATATAGATAGTTTTTGATTATTATTTTACTTTTGTTAATTTTATATCTTCTGTATATATGGTGTGAATGTGTTCATATATCACTATATTTAGTGTCTACGTGACAGATTGTTATATTTCTAAATAAATAAATTTAAAAAAAAAATATTTGTTTTTCTGAGCAAAAATAAGAATTATCACGGCCATAGTGACGGTGCTCTACTACTCACGCATTTCTGAAGTTATTTAAAAGTTTTGTACGTAAATATATATATATATTTTTTTTTTTTATTGTTTTCGTGGAGGTGACAAGAAGATGGGAATCATCCCCTTGGACCCACTCCACTTCGACACGATGGACGTCGAACAAGGCTCCGGTCCTGTCAGTCTCACCCTCAAGATGAAGAACGTATCCTTTGTAGGCCTTTCTGAAAGTCGTGTCACCAGTGTCAAGTGAGTAATCAAATTTTGTTCAGACTTATTTTAATAAATTAAAATACTCCGCCCCCCCCAAAAAAAATTTTTAACTATAAAAAATGGATAAATGTAGCTTTTGAAAGAATTTAATAATTGAATACAGGAGAAAAAAAGAAAAATGCTTATCCAGGTCGAAAATGAGTCTCCGGAAATAATAGTCAGAAGGTAATCAGTATACGGAAGGAAATTAAATGGAATTTTCTTACTAAATTGTAAATAAGCTACTGAAAGTTAATTTTAAAAAATTGTTTTTGGCGGGAATAGGCGAATAGCCTTCCGCTTTTATATCGGGGCTTAAGGTTATTTACACACGTGAACAAAACCCCGGCACCGGATATAGACTTTTTTGAGGGTGTTTAACTGTCGTTGGGAATTCGGGAATGTAATACCTTTTGTGACATTGAGTGAGAAGAAACAATAAGAAAATATATTTGAAATTTGGGACTTAGTTAATACGCATTGAATGAATTGACTCACCTGGTTTGTTATTCTTCAACCGTGAGGCATATAGAACAACTTATACTAAATAAATGACTTTTCACTCCTGTATAATAAAACAATTTATTTTAACAACTGTAATAAATTAATGTATAAAAGTCTTATAACTGTAGCCTTGATATTCTTGGTATTCAATATAGTAAGCCTCTCTTCCCAGATGACTTCCTCTCGCTTCCGTCCTTATGCCTCAAGTGCCTGGCGTCCTCTTCCAGCTGCTGCTACCTGATCGGACCTTTTTCCTTCTTTTCGATTGTTTATCGATATGAGATTTTTCAATGAGCAATTTGTCCACTGCACCATTGAGTACAATTCACAGTGCAACCTCACATTTCTATATATTATATATTCCTTCTCATTCCCTCACACAATGTCGTCTAAAGGAGTAAATACAGGGGGATGACTACTACAAATGTCGTAAACGTTTAAATTTGTTTTTAAGTTTGAAAAAAAAGTATTTAAAATCAACCAAATTAAGGTAATAATATTGTTTAAAATACTATTGTAGATGCACTCTTTTATGTTTCAAACCTCACGTTACACACTGACCTTAACATTCCTTTCATCTCGCCAACTGCCACTGACCGCTTTAATAAATTTCATGACAGACTGACTCTAAATTCCAATCCACTTACTCAAGCTCTATCTACGGCCACAAATCCATATTATCCGCCCAGAAGACTGATGAGGCGCTGGCCAAGAGACTTATTGAATTGACTTGCTGCATTATCTTTTTCCTTTGTGTATTATTATGTGTTGTTTACTACTGTCTTATTTTATTTTTACTTCCCTACCTACACTAGGTAAGGAAAGTATTGTGATCGCGTCAAATTTCCGACATGCGGTTTTCGACGGATCTATACGTTTCAGAGCCTCCTGAGTCCGGAAAACACATTTTTAGCCATTGGTTTGTCTGTCTGTGCCAAGATTTTCTCGGGAACTACTGAACCGATTTTGTTGCTTCTTTTTTTTTATTTTGTAGGGATTTGACTACTGATGCCTGTGACAGAAATTCGTTGCTTCATTCGCAATAACTTGATAATGAAAAAACATGTTTTTCTATAGACTATAGCGCAAAAACGGCTCAAACATTTTGATGAAACTTTTCTATGATGTTCTAATCATTGTCCTTTCAATTTTCGTATGTAGACTAAATTCCCGAAAAAATTCAGGAAAAAAAGTGATAAAGAAAAGAAAAATGTTATGGGGCCTAACTCCCTAAGTATATATTATACAGTAAATTTTGAAACTTTTGAAAGGTAATTAAATTACCAACAAAACAAAAATCATCGGAATCGAACCAGTATTAGCGATGATACAGCTTATTCTATTTTCTACACATTTTTTTAACTTATTACTTTCCTACCTATACTAGGTAAGAAAAGTATTGCAATCGGGTCAAATTTCCGACAAGCGGTTTTCGACGGATCTATCCGTTTCACAGCCCCCTGAATCCGAAAACACATTTTTATTGTTTGACAATACTAAGCTATGGCAAAAAGTTTTTGACCAGCAATATTAGTGAGTATTGAAATGTTTACACTGATCTACCTTAAACAGGTTTCATTGCTTTAGTTTATCAAATAAATCGTACTTAAATCTTTTGTTTGATCAAGCTTCAGGAAAATAAATTTAGTTCAATTCTTTTTTGTTTCTTCATGAACATATTTAAAGATATAAAAACTTTTCTGAAATAGGTAGGAAAGTCGTGTGAGTGGACATATCAGATATTTTTTTTTGTTTTATTTTTTGTCTTTTTGTTTTGTTATTACTATTCTTTTTTCTTTATGCTATCGTTTCTTCTCCTTGATATCATATTTGCTGAATACCGAGGTAGATGGCAAATTTATTGTGAGCCAGGAATATGTGTAAATAATAAATAAATAAATAAAGTTTTATTATATTTGTGTGAAAGAAAAAGTGAACTATTAAAATATTTCATGGAATGTAATCTTAAAAACATTTACTGTAGTTTAATAACTATAGATCTGATATTATATTTTACTTAAATAATCAGGTATCAATCGCCCATTTATTCAGAAAAATCATCATGTAAACACATAAGAGGCAATGCAAATCTCGTAATTAAATTTTAGTAAACTATGCAATGGAAAAAAACAGTTTAATAATTAATAGTCATACAAACCATAATCAGTGGATCGTATAATCCATAATCAACCGTCGAATTTAATAAGTAAGATTTTTGTTATTTTAATTGTAGTTATGATATTTTAACCCTAAGCTTTAAGCTTTAGCTCGGTTAAAAATGCAATTCAAAAATTTTATAATTGCCCAAAATTGTCATAAAATAATTTATATTCAAGTAGAGCAGTAATTGAAAGTTGTGTGTTGCGCAGACCAGATTTTTATGTATATGTTAATTACTCTATCTTTTTTTTAAATGGTTGTTTTGACAATTATAATTATAATAATAATCAACATTTTATCATTGATAACTAGAATGTTAAAGGTCAATCAAAATTTAAAAATTAATATTTTTTTTAATGTTTCAGGAATGACTGGAAGACGATGAATTTAACTTTCCACATCCCTTACGCTCATAATGAAGGAGATTATACCATCAATGGACAGATCTTGGTACTGCCGATATCTGGATCAGGAAGAGTATCCATGGATTGGTGTAATTATTTCTAACCATTTTTACTATTTTATTTATTTCTTTACTGGTTTTCACAAATATATCACACATCTAAGGTAACACTTAGATTACAGGCCGTAATCATATCCAAAGAAAACATGGTGCTTTCTGATTGTTTATTTAACAGCTTGGGTGGTGCAGGTGCACCATCAAAACTGATTAAAGGGCACATTTTGATGAGGTCTTGAATTGTTGAGAGGGGCCAAATTTGACTGGATTATGAAATTGTGAATGAAAAGTTTCAAACCAAGGGATAAGGGGAAACATGCACCAGACCGCAACTAGTGTGATTAATTGTATCTACTTGTAATTCTACTTTCGCTTGCACTGCTTTTAAAAAGAGTAAATATCTTGGGAAGGAGTGGGGTAGCTCAGTGGTAGGGTACTGAACTTTCAATACTCGAGGTCCCAGGTTCAAATCCCGGCTCATGGCAGAAAAATTATTTATTCTGTTTCATCGTCCGTGAGGTGACTCTAGGGTAATAAAGAGACCCTCCTGGGGCACACCCAGCCTATATAAAGTGCGTACTCTTAATTCAAATAATTAATTTAGGGGGGGAACCTGGCGATTGAGCTTGATCCTGGCCCGTTCTCCTTCCCGCACAACTATTGGCCTTGAAACAGTATTTTCCCTAAACAGTACTGAACCCAAGACCCTTCATAGGTTGTAGTGGTACAGGTTTAAATATTTTGGGAAGGAGAGACTTTCTTTGGAAAAATGAGCAGTTATTTAACCATTTTTATAATATACTTTATATCAGCGATAACAACTTTTATCTATTTTTTTTTTTTTTTAATTTCTAAGAAACCTTTTAGGAAAAAGTTCTTAAAATAAAAGTTTTAAGGAACTTTTTTTATAATAAAGTCTTAAGTTTATCATAAAATTTTAACTTGTATTTACTTAAGTTCTTAAAAAAAGTATAAATGGGTAAAACAATAATTGGGCATAGATTAGAGTTATAATATATCTTAAATGATTTACTTGATTCTAATGTGTAGTTTGTTTTAGTAGCAATTATTATTTTTTTAGATAGACTTTTTGGCAAAATCAACAAATCTTTACAGATAATCTTTTCTGTTTTTTTAAAATAAAATTTATGTAAAACCTTAACTTAAAAACTGTTTGGGAAAAAGTTCTAGTCTCGAAATAATAGAAAAAAATTTAAAATAAAGATTTCAGTCATACTAAAACTGATCAAGAATAAAATTTAAAATTTCATTTTAAGCCATGCTTTAATATAGTTTCTAGTTTATATTAACCCATCTCTGAATAAAGTAGACATTATTTGTACTGTCATTGCTGAATTTAAAAAGAAACTCAAAGAGGATCGAATTAAAAAAAGAAATTTTGGGAGAAAAAAATGCTGGGTGAAAATCAGAAATCCTGAGAATAAAAGGAAAAATCTGGTTCTCATTACCCATAGTACCACAGAGTTCCACTCCAAAACCAATTTCTTGCTAATGTGATCGATCTAGTTTTCCTAGTTGTAAGACCGAAACACAATAGCTTTTGTACCGATTTCTTTTTATGCCCAGAGAACACTAAGCCTGGTAATCTATTCTTTATTTATTTATTTCTGGTGAGATATAACGCATGCCTGCCTAACAATACTGCGGCTAGTAAAACAATAAAGATTCATAATTTTTCCTGAGATGCCCACATAGCTTGCTCATTTGTCGTTGGGACTACTCACCATCTTATTCTGCACTTCCTGTATCTGGAGCCTTCCTGGTGCAAAACTTCTCTTTTTCATAAGGAGAAGTGGCTTGGTCTAACAATTGCTTCAACCCCCACAGAAAATCCTCAAGCTCAATTAATTTTTCTCACTCATCAGCTGAGGGAAATAGCTCTCTATTAATATGTGGAGACCTGTTTTCCTCAGCAGTTTGTTCCTTAGTGCCCCATAGACAGTATAGGGCAAGATCATGTGCTAGCCAGTCTCCGATACTCTGCGACTGGAATATAGAGGATCGATATTCTTCCCAAGTTGAAAGAGCTTTGTTCAGAAGCCCCATATCCAGTGAGTAGTTAGGAAGCCCAATAATCAGATTTTAACCATTTCGCTGCAAACTGTAAACCAATGGTAGGAAAATATAAGTAAGAATATTTTTTTCAACAGTGATATATTCCCCCATTTTTTTCCACTCAATTATATCATTACATATAACGTTTCAGGATCCACTTTTATCCCATCTTCAGACAGTATCCTGCAATCATCTTAATTCTCCATAAGACTTGTCATGTTAATAAAATGTTTTATTTTTTGTCTAATATATAATGTCTTATATGTAATGTTATTAATGTTTTTTGTCTTATTAGACTCTCCCTAGAGGAGACTATCACTTCTTACCCATTGCATTTATGCTTTCATATAATAACAGTAATTTTTCTTATCATTTTTGTATCTTGCAGATGACTTGAGTTACATATTTGAAATGACCTTCAAAGAAATAACAAAGGATGGAAAAAAATATTACCAAATTGAGAAAATTCCAGTAGCCGTAGTGCCCAAGAAGGTATCTTTTAACTTTGGGAACCTCTTTAACGGAAATAAGGAACTCGGTGAGGATGATCACATTTACTAATGACATGTTTTTTTACAATAATTTATATTAATTTACAATTTTCCTTATTGGTAATAGGAGATAACACAAACAAGTTTCTTAACGAACATTCGGAAGAGATTCTGAACGAATTGAAGCCAGCGATGTCGAAAACCCTCGAGAAAGGCTATCGAATCTACATTAACAGGATACTGGCCAAGATACCCGCTGAGGAAATTGATGTTAAATAAAGGAATGCTAAGCAAGATATTCTCATAAATAATCGTCTATCATTAGAGTATGCAACAATTTTGCAAATGCATTTGCTGCAATAGTACATTTGGTATTTATAATAACATCTTTATAAATCTGTTACCCCAATCATGTACATTCTTAGTTGGTACATTTGTGTATATATGGCATAAATATATATCAATATATTGACTGAAAACAAATTCGTCTAGCTATAATTAATTATTTTTAAATTTTAACTTGTATTAAATTGTAATATTTAATGTATTTACAAATTTTAGCAAAGCAGAAATTGACTACTGTTCAACAGCAGATTTGTTTTAGAAGTTTTGGATGCTACCCCTTTTAGTTCTTGAATCTCCAAAAATAATCATTGTTTTATAGTTATAGATTAAATGGAGATAAGTACTACATGCTTAATTAAGCTGGTTTTTTTTAGTAATAACAGATTAATTTAAATCTCAAAATACAATTTAATACAAATTTTGCCATTCCTCAAAAATAAGACGCCTGTTCTGATTGTATAAAAATCCACCATTGCTTTTGTTATTTACTAATTTATTTATGTCCAAATAGTTATTTCCTAATGATTGGTATTAATTAATAATTAATAATAAAAATAAAAAATAAAACAAAATTAAATGTTTTAACTAAGGTATCTGAATAGGTACTATTATATACTTTTCTACCCTCCTCTGCACCAAATTTCTCCTTTTCCTCACCCAGTATAATTAATATTATTTTATATGAATTCACTTTCTCTCATTTTTCAAATATTTCTCAGATTGGTTTCTAGAACTACTTTCCACGTATAAATTTTTTTTTTTCTTTAATGTAATTTTGATGCTTTAGTTATTGTTTAAATGTTCTTTTCCTCTATGCTATATTTTTATAAATTTACATTTAGTATAAAACAGTATGGTCTCTATGTAATGTTTTAATAGTTTTATAAAGCGGCTTTGTCCCAGAATATTAAAAAAAAACTATAGTGTGCGCTTAAACCACACAATTAGAAGTGAAAATGTCTATAAGGCAGACTTAACAATATGAAATATAAAAATTCTTTTGTTGTATATTCAAAAATTAATACCATTTATTATATATACAATTATAATTGTGTTTAAATTGCTCCGGTAAACTTTGCTCCAACCGATCATACTAAGCCAGTAACATACTCTAAAAATTAAATCATAGGTTAATGATAACTAAAGTATGTGATGATCGTATACTCTCATTATTTTAATATGACAACATTTAATGTGGAATACATTAAGATTTGGTTATTGACACAATATTTTTTCCCTGTTGCCTCTCTAATATGGCGTCACGTCAACATACAATTTTGTATAAAAGGTCACTATGAAGAGAATGAATTGCTGAACATTTTACTTGCTTAAAATATGCAGGTCTAATTTTTAATTTCAGAGATATTTTAATCGAAATGCGAAAACACTTTAATTAGTTGACTTAAGCTGACTTTATCCGAATGGCTCAGTTTCGTTCACTCCCCACAAAAAAGTGCAAAACGCAGTTAATAAAGAAATTTTCATTTAATTTCCTTAAATCTTTAATTATTTACTATTATGAAACATAAAAAATGTAAATTAGTCCAGGATTAATGTACAGGATGTAAATTAGCCTTGAAAAACCCTGTATAGCCTAAAAGGCGAGGAAGGAGAGAATAAAAAAAGTGTATTAAAAAAAGGTTCAGTACTTTGTAAGGAAGTAATATTTCTTGGTCAACGGTTATGAAGGAAGCTGATTAGATCAAGATCACGCTCAGCCATCTGCCAGGTTTCCCGTCTTAATTTAATTTTAATTTAATTGTTATTACTCACTTTTATAGAGGCTGGGTGTGTCCCAGGAGGGTCTCCCATCAATAGAAGGCTGACAAAATAGATAAATAATTTATCTGCCATCAGCCAGATTTGAACCAGGGACCTTGAGCATTGGAAGTCAGCGCCCTACCATTGAGCTACCTCATTCCATTTGAATAATTAGAAATACCTAAAGTATATATTAAAAATCTACATACAAGTGTTGAAACATTTGAAAGGAATATCTTCCGTAGGATAAACGCAGCGATCTTGATCAGAATACTAACACATGGAGAAGAAAAAGCAATAAAGAACTGCTTACAGAAACTGGTCAATCAATATCCCATGATATGAAGACACGGAGGTTAAGATGGGCAGGGCATGAAGTTTGTAGCAATCCATCTGGAAGCCTCTACGTAACAATGAATGCCTCAATAGAAGGCAAAAGACAACACGGAAGGCCAAAAAGAAGATGGATAGATAGAATCAACAAAAATACAACAGAGCCTCGTGCAGATAAATGGAAAGAAATAGCCCAAAACAGACAGAGATGGATCAGGCTTCTTAAGGCAGCAAAACATCTAAATGGTCTGTAATGTCAACAGAAAACAAAAAATTATATATATATATAAAATATAATATATTAAAAATATTTTTAATATTGTTGGTTAGAACTTCCACTTTATTTTTAATAAAAAAATCTGGTGCGCAGACAACTTTCACTTACCGATCTACTTTGAATAGAAATTATTTTCTAGCAATGCTGGACTATTATAAAATTTTTTGAAGTGCATTTTAAACGGAGCTAAAGCTTAAAGCTTACAGATAACAAGCCATTAAGACCTTTATAATTACAAAATGTTTATTTAATATATCGACAACAGGCAATAAAAATCAAGTCACTTCATCTGCTTTTATAAACCACACAACTTTCTTTGCTTTTATAAACCACAGAATGACTAACTCCAATTTCAACATTTTTGAGTGATGTCATTTTAGTGATATTTTTAGTTGAAAAAGTTATCTATGCAGACAATGAGTAAGTTGATTCCAGAGGTGGTGATTGCAGTGTTGAAATATAGAACTGAGAATAAAGGTATAAATTTAGGTACTTATTTCTTATGAAAGATGTTCTTAGGAAAGACACTTTATTAAATATCTGTAGAAAAAAGGTTTTTTTTAGTCTCAACAATTAAAAAATATATTTTAAATTTATCCAAATTTTCGCCTCTTCAGAGAAAAAAACTAGAGACCATATCTTTCCCCAAATATACAATATCTCCAAAAAAGCATATACTTTTTGAGTTATTCGGAATTTAATTTTAACATCCCTAGTGACTTTTTTTCCAGCTTCTTTTCATTGAAGTATGTTATATAGATAAATTTAAAGGGTATTGAGAAAATGGCTTTAGCGAAGTTTCATTGAAATCGGTACATTCGTTTAGGCGCTACAGTCTATAGCAACGCAGGTTTTTCTGCATGTTTATTTTTTTTCTCCTTTATTAACTTATCAAATTCTTTCAAAAGTTATATGTAGCATTTTTTCGTAACTCTAAATAAAGCGAAATGGTTAACTTTTTAAAATAAACCATATTAAAGGTACTTTAGAGGACGACATATATGAACATTGGGCATTTAAGCCCTGTAAAGTGACATTAACGGGGATAAGACCTAAATGATATTTAAGACCACTTAATTATACAATGATACACCGAGTTTGTTCAAAATTGTTAGAGCCGTTTTTGAGAAAATTGTAAAAATGTGTTTCAGCATTCATATAAAGTGGCACTTCAGGTTAGCCGATTTTAACGAAAAAGTTGCTGTCACATCCGGCCCATATACAAATCTTAAATACTTAATATCAGTTTCGTACTACTTTTCGTTTATGAGCTAGACTGTTAACACACACACACACACACACACACACAGACGGACAGGCACACACCGACCATTTTGCGACACTTGGTTATTTGAACTCAGGGGACCTCAAACCATGTTTTTCCGTTGAAAATTAAGATTTGAAAATTTTCATGATCGCAATACTTATCCTTACTATATATTACATATATACGTAAGTGAAAGTAAAAAACACACGTCTCATCCACAGTTTACTTTTATTTCATACTCAACATCTTAGCCCTCATGTCATTTTCAAGGGAAGAAACCTCACTCTGGAGGTTTTAGTATTAGACAGTAAGTATGAGATAAGAGAAAATTAACCCAACTGATTTTATTTATATAATAAAGTATAGTTTCTTCCCTTTTAAACATTGAGTGTAAAGTAAAAATAAAATAGTTCTAATAGCTGTTTATTATTATTACAAATTAGAAATGTTTAGAAAGCCCTAGAGCAGCGCTTCTCAATCTTTTTATAAGGATGGTTAGGTTTTAGAAAATGGATAATTGATCCAAAATATTGAAAATTAATTGATTAATATAGAGTAGTTGTTGCAGTGTGAAAAAATATTTTATATTTCTTGTATTTTTTGTTTTTTATTACAGTTAATTGAATGATAATACAAACTGCCTCATGTTTATATTAGTTATTTTAAATATGTAATCATTTTTCTTCCTAAATTAAAATTTTTTAAAAGTAAAAAATAAAAAGAACCTTTCTCATAAATGCTATAAGAGAATATTATGAAACTAATAATGCCATATAATACAAAGGAACAATTGATAATCAAAAATCACATAATAACTTTCTTAAAAACAATAACAGATGCGATTGTACCATAAAAATTTTAAAATCGTAAATTTTTATATAATATAAATTCATAGTTTAAATACCTGTTATTTATAAGGTGTTCATGCACAACAGCTAACAATCTGAAAAAAAAAAAAAATACTCATTCCTCAAATTCATTAAATAATGTCCTTTATTAATAAATATATGATTATATGGGCTACAGAAACTTATACATGTGATGTAATAATATATGAGTGGTTTTATATCAAAGATGGACATCTGCCATCTAAATTAGGAAAAAAAAAACTTTCATTGTAGGACTTTATTTGAAAGAATTATGTTCATTTCATTTTTTTTCATAACTCAACTTAAACGTTGTTTATTAATTCCTGAAGGATTTGAAATCAATATAATTTGAAAACTTAGTCATATTCTTCTTTGAAAATACAGATGTCCATTTTTTAAACAAATATTCACAATTGTCGGTTTTTTA